AATTTCCATGGCCTCTTTCTCACTGATCCTGTGCAGATCCAGCAGCTCTTGGATGGTTTCTGTGGGCAGCTGCACCTTCTGTCCCATCTCTTTGTCATAATGTTCAATGGCCTTTTTCACTGCAGCTAAGTTCTCTAGCTGAGCTAAGGTCAAGACTGCATTCTCCATGCATGGCAGGTCTCCACTGCTTATGGCTTCTACATAAGTCAGCACTAGCTTCTCTAGACCTTTCAATGGGGAGCACATGATGAAATATACTTTAGAGTTAAGAGATTTCTCCCTTCTGTATAATTATGAGATGGTCTATGACCAGTTGTTCACATTTTCAATGGCACGAGCATCATTCACAAGCCTGGTACTCTGACCTACTGAAATATAACTTTATTCTTTAAGGAAACCCAGACATACTATGCAAAGGAGAGAGTGAAAGTCCTTGCTGCAGATAAGGTAGACCTATATATATTGTACATGAATCTATCAGGCCCCCAACGTCTTTAGGCTAAGAATATTATGTTTTTGTTTCTATAATCAGTCTTCTGTATCATGTCCATGTCAAGCCTTTGATGAAATATGTGTGGGACAAATAATAGAGTTCTTACTTGGTTCATTCGAGCTCAGTTTTGTCCCCTAGAACTTTCTGCAGTGAACCAATTGTTCAGTGTCTCTACTTTAAATGATGGTAACCATTAAAAATGCCTGTTGATTCCAGGAAGTAAGGCCATATAATCTGGTTTTAAATGGACTTAATTTTATTTAAACTTAATTATACCTGCATCTGATGGCCACGGAAATAACAGCAGTCAAATTTGGTGCAACAGTGTTAAGAACAGAGCCACTTAAACTTGGTTTTTTTTTCTCTTTTCCACATAAGACATTTGGTTAATGAAAAATATTAGATTTTAGATGAATTGTGTCAAATTTAACATAAATACCTGTGGCCCCTATACTTCTGAAAGCAGAAAATAAATGAGCATGTCATCCTCCCTTTGCCTTGCAGGGAGTGAGGACTGGGAAGGAGACTCACGTGAGCCGTTGACCTTGAGGCCTCCCGGCAGAGTTTTAACCTTGGAACTGCTACTGATGTAGCAACAGAATTCTGCCACTTGCTGCAAAAACTCAGAATCGATCTCGTTTTCTTGCAGGGTCTCGAGCTCACGGAGTTTCTTCCACTCGGTGGGTGGATAGAAGACAAAGCATTTCTTCTTCGGGAAGAACTTTCGAATACAGAGTCGGGGCAGGTTGTATTTTTCAACTTCTTCACAGGTGCCTGGAGAAACACCTTTTTAAATGGGTGTGAACAGCTAGCAGAAGGGTTAGTGCGCCATTTATGAATCTCTTCAAACAAATGTTCCCTCTACCCCTAGTCTTCAGCCATGCGGAGCTTCCCGGACCAAAGGAAGGAGAGGAAAGCAATCTAATAACAGGATCCAAAACGGAAAGCCAAGAAACCCGCAACTTAATGAGATTAATATTGATTCTATTAAACAAGAAACTAAACAAGAATTATTTCTTAGTAATAACCAGGAGCAATAAACAAAAAGCAATATAAGAGGTTGCACAAGAATTAATTATTGGAATTTTTTCCTGTTTT